TAGTCACATATAGAATTCAGACACCCAATCTAAGTGTGGTTCTTCTGACAATCTCATTCCTGAATTCCGATCCTCTGTCTGAGACAAACTCTCTGATAAAGGGATATCTAAGATAGACCTCCTCTATCCAGTCAGTCACTTGTTCGGTTGTCCTCCTTTTCGGAGTTTTTGCCTCAACATATCTAGAGAAATCATCTCTCAAGTTTAGTACATATCTCATCCCACCCTTGCCTAGCGGCATAGTGATGGGATCCAAATGAGCTCGGCTTCCTGGTTCTACCAGAATAGTGGGAAATAAAAGCTCTACCATTCTTGTGGTAGACCTCTTCTGACATAACACACATGGTTTACAAAATCTGAAGATTATGTCTCTCATGCCAGGCCAGAAGTAAAGTTTGACAGTCTTAGAGTAGGTTGCCTCAACAGCCCTGTGGTCACCGGCAACCCCGCCCTGTGGTCACCGGCAACCCCCTCATGTAGAGCAACAATTATCTCTAACTATCTCTCTTTACCACAGACCACTCTCAGTGGGGGTAACCCTTCCTTACCATCCACAAAAAGATGTCCTCTTTTTAGTCTGAATTTCTTCCCTGAATTTTTACAATAATATTTCTTTAACTGTTTTTTTTTCATCTTCTTACCTATCTCTTGGTAGTTTTCGTCATATTCTTCAATAATAAAAAATATATTTGCTTCCTTCTTTTCACTTTCTTCCTCTTCTTTTGAACCAGAGTTTTCCCGATTTCATGAGCAGCAACTGTTGCTGCATTAACTCGTGCATACCAATAATTTGACTCATCTTCTTATTCTTTCCCAAGAATCGACTCATAAATATATGCATTAGGGATCTATCCCCAGCTATCTCTCTCTTCAGGCCACAAACTCCACTTGTAGGAGCATGGTACTTCAAAGTCCTCATCATCTTTCTTATTCAAAAAATTATCAACATAGGCTGATTCTTCAATCGTTCCACTCACATCTTCTTCTTCTTCTTTTCTCCACTCAATACGGCTTAGACCATCTGCTCTGTTCTTCTCAGTGTGAATCTTTTCCAACTTAAAATCATACGTCCAGATGAAGGCGATCCACCTGCTGACTGTTGGATCTACTTGTTGGTGCTTCTTAATGACACCTATCACAGCAGATACATTAGTCCTCAAGATGAATCTCCTACCTAGTACGTAGTGCCTGAAACACCTGAGGCTATGGATGATTGTCAACAACTTTTTTCTGAATTGGGTACAATCTCTTTCCGTAGAATTGAGGGTCCTGCTATCAAATCTCAGAGGTCTCTCTTTCCTATATTTATTTTTCTAAATGAGCACACCACCCAGAGCAACTGGTCCTCCATCGGCCTCGATCATGAATGACCTTGCCTCCTCATCATCATAAAATGACACTTCCAGCACTACACCACCATTTTTTAGTTTTTCTTGCAGAGTTTCTGCAACGGCCGATCTTTTATCATTTCATGCTAAGTTAGCCCCTTGTCTTACCATCTCCCTCAGAGGCTCTGCAAGGGTAGCAAAATGAGGGATAAAAATCCTCCAGAATCCACAAACGCCCAAAAAGCCTCTGACATCTGTCACTCTCTTGAGTGGTAGAGGTCAATTTAAGACTTTGTCTATCTTCTTGGGATCAGGACACCTACCTTTGGAGAAACATCTGAAGTCCAAGATGATTACTAGGGGCTAGAAGAGAAGGGACTTTGGTCCACTCGCAGTCAAGTTATATTTTTGAAGTCTCTCTAGGACCATTTTAACTCCTTCAGCATGTTCCCAGACAAACTTTTACGCTTCCATTGGTCACAGCTCAAACCAATCCATACCTACTGTACCCTGTCTCATGCTGCCTCCACCGAGGGAAATCCCTCGGCCCCAACATAAAACAGATCCCCTCCCCTCCCTCCACCACATCCGCGAAGGCAACCAATCCCCTCCTAGAAGCTGCCTTTGCCCACCCCTTGTCCCTGTCTGCCCCCGCTGGGGATGAAGGGGACCAACTCTCCAACCCCGACCCCAGACTCAGACAATCCCCAATCTGCCCTACTCCCAGTAAGGCTACTGCCTCCCACCATGCAACACCCCTATAGAATAAGGCACCCCTGTAACAGACCCCGGGGTTAATTTTTCGGGGACAACTAACTAGTAGCCTATACCCACAACTGGCCAGCCCTATCCCAGGCTGACAGTCCTACCGTCCTTCCCCTGGCTTGTCCCCTAACTTAGGCCAGGCGGATCTCAGACCTGCTGGGGGTAGCTACCGTATGTCTGTACACTGGGGTCTCAAAAAAACCCTGCCTACCAAAATTCCAGCCGTAACCTCCGAAGTCCTATCCCTACTAAAGCGTCTGCAAAATTCAATGTTCAAAATCCCCAATTAGGAACAGGAAGCTCATGAAAAAACAAAATCAAGAAAATTCTCCTCAAGAAGTAGGTAATCAAGAAGTAAGTAATCGCGATATAGGTAATCAAAGTATAGGTAATCTAGATGTAGGTAATCAGGATATCGCTAATCAGGATATCGCTAATCAGGATGTAAACATTAATGACTATTGGATAATTGGGTAGCCGAAAACGGTACCCTGAGACTGAAAGTTTTCAGATGATTTTAGTATCGATGATGGTAGTGATGATGATGGAAGTGTTATGGATGACTATTTGATTGAAGCAAGCCTAAAGATAGTAGTAGCCATCAACGTCGCCTACAGATGAATTACGACTAATGAAAAAATGTGATGAGGGTGAGCATACTAATGAAGCTGTCCAAAAGAGATATTAATTACTGACCTAAACTGAGGATGATAGTGCTGATGATCATGATACTGCAGATGGTAGTGATGATGAGGATGTCAACTAAGTATCCATTGTATTGATAACGATTGTCTTATCGCAAGTGATGATGACCAGTAATCTTGATGGCGATTTGCTGATACACTCGAATTTCATGGCGCGCCCTAGATCTTCGATATCTCATAATTCGCTGGACCATTTGATCTGAAATGTGGACCACCTCAGCTTCTCGCCGTAGACCACCGGTTGTCCAATTTTCAGCTCAGGGCGCGCATCCAATCGCGCGCAATTGTCGAGCGCGCGCGCGCTATTTTCCTTGCTGCGTGCAGTTTTCTATCGCGCGCGGCTCCTCTTCGTAGCAGTAACCTTGATTGATGATTGTTGAGATGATGACGATGATGACTGATGACTATGATAGTCATGCTCGACAACAGTGATGATGGAGAAATGTGGATGGCAATGACGCACAACCCTGATGATGAGGAGGAAACCCCACCATGTTCCTTTGAGTTACGGCCGATCCGTGATGCTGATGAACGAGAACGCTGGTGATGACGGGTAGCTACTTCACTCGCACTTCGGGTCACCCAAGGATCACTCCGCTAAACTCCACAGGCATCCCCAGAGACGACACCTCACAGACTCTACGCCACGGGCAAAAACGCAGCAGCTATGGAGTATGAACGCGGAACTCCCAGAAACCCCCCGGGAGTCAGTCTATTCTCCCTATCAACTTGTGATACGGTATAGACAAACACCCTCGCTCCCCGCGCGTGCGCAAAGTGCTTAACGAGCAACTGCTGTAAGCTCGACCCCCAGCCCTGCAACACCTCGTCACCCCACCAGCGCCTCTGTCACGCCATCTCCATGCAGTACTTCGTTCGTATGAACGCGCTAGAGCGAAGCCGGTTCACGCCAGACGCCCTCCCGCTTCGCCGCCTCACTCCGCCGCCGCGGTCCGTACCGGGGCGCAGCGCTCCCGGTAGCGCTGCGCCCCTGTGAGGAGGATAGAAGACCAATCAAATGTAACTTACTCCTCAGGAGCGCTAAAATTAGTGCTAATCATGCGCGCTACTGCTGCGCTTTGGCGCAGCACTAACGTTAAGCATGATTAGGGCTAGGGTTAGCGTTATCTACCTCCTCTGCTCCACCGGAGTGTAGACCAACGCCCCAGCTGCCACGTGCACACAGCCCCAGGCGAAATTCGGGCAGTCGTTGGATACAAGGTTTCCTTCACGCTATGTAAAGGCACGTATAACACTCCACACCACTCTTTTGGGGGGGATGGGAGGTGTTTTTCCTATACTTATTGAAGGCTTCCTATTAGGTGCTTGGTATTGTTTGTCTATTTAGTTTTTAGAGATTGCGATTATATGGAAGTATATTCATTAATTTAACTTTTAAATTGTTTCTGACTTTTGTTTCGGTCGGTATATATCTTGGAACGATAGGGGATCTCCCTACTTTGACGAATACCTTACCGGACTCTGAAAAGGAACGAATCCTAAACCTAATCAACAACTGCTACAATGAAGGAATCTTCCCGAAGGATCTTAGGCCGCAAATAGTTGAATCCGGGCAAGACTTTGACCGGGTCTTGGTCAACCAGGAGGTCCAGCAAAAATAGCTGGCGGAACACGCAGTCACTATTTCCCTCGGGGGAGACTCTTCCTCGTTGCCAGTGAAGGTTAAAGAACGAATTATGCGAATTCACGAGAATGAATGGGCAAAAAACGGAGATGTCAATGTCCCGCCAAAACGCGGAATATTTCGGAACGAAGGTTACAACTTAGTTACCTACGTGGCATCTGCAAAGGAAATCGCCACCTGGCTTTTGAGAAAGAAGGAAGACACAGTGTTTTTGAATGACAAAACTTACACTTTTTCGATTAGGCCATGGATGTCCGAGGCTGAGTTGTTTGATTGGCGTGAGGCCATGCGTTTTAAATTCTTCTGGATCCGCTGTCTTCAAGTCCCGATCGGGGTCCTACCGCATCTTGAAGGGGCGGTGAAAGCCTTGTATGGCAAGATATTGAAATCCTACCCGGTCTTCAAAGATGAAAAAAAACCTCTTTCTTGAATGTTCGATTCAATGTGGAATCCTCGGCTCGCTCCCGTTACAAAAAATATATGATTGTGGATATGGAGGAGGGGGGTTTCGTTGAGTTGGAGGTGATATGCGCTTCCACGCCCTGGTGTGAGCGGTGTCGCAGATATTTTCACGAAGAAGCAGACGATGAGTGCCCTTTCTCGAAAAAGCCTTCGAAGCAAACAACGAAGGTTCCCCCTAAGGGGAAAGGGAGAATACCTACAAAGGAAGAAACCAATCGAAAGATGAACCCAGGAAAAGAAACTCAGGCTTGGGGAAGGAAGGATGGGGGAACGGAATCGACATCTCAGGAACCTAGGACGAAGAATAAAGGTCCCGAGAACCCACCTTCAGACTTGGCTACAAGGACAGATCAGGGGAGTGGAGTGGCGGTAAGTGGAGAGAAGTCACAGGGGGACCAGGGAAAGACTAGGGCACCCACCTACAAAGAAGTTTTGAAATCCTCCCCCCCGCCCATGCATGAGAAAGGTCGATCTGAACCCCCTTCTCCTCAAATCATTGGTTTTGAGGACAGATTGATGGAATCAGCTCAAAAATCTGATGGAAAGCAACCGAGCGAGGACTCAGATACAGACATGAAAGATGAAGAGGAGAGGGATGAAGAGGAGGAGGAGAGGGAAGAGGAGGAGGAGGAGGAAGAAGAAGAAGACTTTGAGGAAGAGGAGGAAGATGAGGAGGAAGAAGGTTTGACAAGAAAGGTTACCCCTCCCGCTCCGGAGCCGTCGCTGGAAACAGGCAAAGCGGCGGATATCCTAACTCATTTGGAAGAACCTGAGTCCAAGTGACACCTGTCTAACCTCTTTAATGGAAAATCTCATAAGTTAATCACAGGGGAGTCATCTACACCTGCAGCCAGTATACAGGAGAAGGATAACGAGCAACCCGAACAGGAGTTCTTCTCTCCAGCAGGGGAACATGAACCAGTGTCGTCCACAGTTTCAGCAGAGTCAAGTAAAAAAAACTTTGTTCATAAAAAGAAGAAGACCTCAGCCCCCGCGAAGGGCCAGGGGACTAAGCAAAAGGAAAATATCATGCTTTCAACTGAAACTGCCTTTCTAGGGGTTGCTGCATCTCCAGCCAAACGCAGTCGGATCGACTTAAACAAAAAAGCACCTCGATTCTAGGATGAGGAAAGTCCTAGGAAGGAAATTTTGAGAAGTTCTGCAAAAAAAAGGGAACGACCAGCGGGAGTAAAAGCCGTCAGGCGTTCTCTATCCCTAGCAGCTCCTACGAAGACCCTTTCTAGATCTGATAAATTTTTAGGACACATCCCCCTGTACTTGGTGCCTTTGGTCTGTACCCCTACTAGTGTGGGCGCGCAGATACTGACTCTCTCCTTGGAGGATGGAATAACGATATTACCGACCATTCCCATCTACTCTCCGCCATCAAGTGAGGACGTTATTAGACTATTTAATAAATATTTCTTACTGGATATAGCTGACACAGTCATTTTACCTGATCCAAAATTGTCCAGGCATCTTGTGGAAATGCCAGGGCAAGGTAAAGTGACACTTTTCCTAGTTTTCTTGGTCCTCAAATTTAAACAGGAAAAAGATGCTCCTCCAGTTCCAATTCGGCTCCATTGGGTGGATTTATCCCACTTTGCTGCCCCGCAGTCAGAGATGCTGAAAAACATCATTCTGGCCGATTATTTGACAGCCCAAGTGGTGGTAGACTGGCTAATCCATTCGGACAACCTAAGTCTGATTTAGTCATCAGCTTTTAGAGAGCAGATCCTCAAATCAGTGATTGAAACTCAAAAGAGGTCCCCCCTGCTCTACCTGTCCAGCCCAGTGTTGCTGATGAATCCGGACCTGTTACCGATTTCGGAAGAATCCAACTGAGCAACGGCAAGGACCTAACTAATGGTCCTTCAACGTGCGTGGACTCGGAGATTCAAACAATACTTTTAAAAAGAGTCGCCTATCCTCTTGGATTCATTCAAATAACGCTCATATAACCTGTCTACAGGAAACCAAACTAGATGCAGGAAAAATTGTGGAAGCCCAAAGATGGTGGTTGGGCCCGCAAGTTTGGTCCCCCGCAGAAGGGTCAAAGGGAGGAGTCGCAGTTCTCATTAATAAGGATCTCAAAGTGGAAGTTTTGGATAGTTGCGCAGACACAGAAGGCCGGTGGGCCTGGGTGAAAATCGTGTTAGAGGAAGAAGATTGGACCATTATGTCTATTTATGCCCCAGTAGAATACCCACCCCGAATTGCCGTTTTTGCAAACTTGCCAAAATTTCTTCCAGATACATAAAATTTGATATTAGCAGGGGATTGGAATTCAGTCCTTTCCCCTGGTCTAGACTCCCTCGTCCCACAACCCTAAGAGCGGATGGTCTACTATTCTCTGAACTAATTAACTCCCAGGGTCTCTTTGACACGTACAAAACATTAAACCCGGACACTCCAGGGTATACATGGCATGGACCCAGGCCAGCACCTCGAACGCCCCAACCAAAAAAGAGATTGGATGTGATATTTGCACGCGGCTCCCCTTGGGACCGCTGTATTGGGGTCGAACTGAAGTATGGATACATGTCAGACCACAACCCGATGGTTATGGATATCATTGCTAAGGATGTTATTGAAAAACATAAACCACCGTTCAGGTTAAACGTCAAAATCTTGAAAGATCCGGGTATTCCAGCTTGGATATCCACTCAAGTCAAGGATTGGGAGAAGGCTAAAAACCTCTTTCCTAGTATAAGGGAATGACCAGACACAGGTATCGGTATAATCCAGGCCGCCATGGAGGAATTCTCCAGGATGAAAGCGACGGCTCGGTCATGGAAAGAAAAATCCTTGTTAGCAATTATCGAAGAAGCAGAAAAGTCAATGGGGGAGGATCCCTTCCAGGAATATTATTGGTCAAATAAAAGGTCAGCTGCGCAAACTTAGCTTGAACAATTGGAAATCAAGCGGCACTCTGACTGGTTGGAATGACTGAAGGTCAAAGGTATAATAGGTTATGACCGGATGACAAAATTAACCTTCCGATCTTTCATCCTTCGTCATGCCAAGCCTCTTATGAGGGAACTGAACCATCCTTTTGCCCTTTCGGCCCCCCTCGCCACAGAAACCACTCAAATTTGTTATACGTCATGGACTACTTTAAAGACATAGTGGCAACCCGCCGGCCTTTTGACATCTTTGACACAGACCTAACGGAGTCCTCTGAATTTTGGAAAGTATCTCGAAAGAAGGTTCCTGATACTCAAAGAAACCTCCTAGAGCTCCAATCTTTGAACATGAGGCTTGGATTGCAGCCAAACGAATGGCGTTGGGCAAATGCCCAGGCCCCGATGGATTACCCATTGAACTTTTTCTCAGCGCCTGGGAAGCCTTTGCCCCCTTTTTGTGCGAGATCTATAATTCTGTCTTCTTGACAGACCTGTTACCAAGAGGAGTAGTTCGGGGGATTATCTCCCTCCTCTACAAAAAAGGTGATAAAAGAGAGGTTCGCATCTGGAGACCTATTTCCATTCTCAACGTGACTAATAAACTTCTTGGTAAAATCCTTGCGATCAGACTTGCTGACCTTCTCCCCTCCCTTGTGGGGGTGGATCAGGGGGCCTTTGTGAAGGGCAGATCCATCTTTGAAAATATCTTAACGACGATCCAGACCCTTGAAATTATCGGAAAAGAGAGAAGAAACCTAGCCATCCTGATGTTAGACATGGAAAAAGCGTACGACAAGGTTCGTTGGGCTTTCGTCAATACTACCCTATTACAACTGGGATTTGGTCCTTGTTTTTGTGCTTGGATTAAAGCTCTATATGCAAATGCTACAGCTGCAGTAGTAGTAAATGGCAAACTCTCTGAAGAATTTTCACTGACACACTCTCTGAGGCAGGGGTGCCCCCTGGCCCCATTGATTTTTGTCCTTCAATTAGAAGTACTACTAGACAATATCAGATTAAATCCGGTGATTGAAGGATTGAGGGCTCCCCCATCTATCCAATGGAAGGTGGGAGCAATTACTGACGATCTTACAGTTGCCTGTAATAACTCTGCTGCCTGTATGTTAGAATTACGTAAAATTATTGATAGTTATTGTGAATTGTCGGATGCCTCAATAAATTGGGATAAATCAATTTTTTTCCTCCCCCTCGATTTTGAGTTGTGTGTGGAGTGGGGCCTTCGCCGTATCTTAGTCAATACTTCTGACAGATTTCTGGGAGTGCATGTCTCTCTCTCAGATTGCTCTGCGGCACATGACAATATTTTGGTGGGAAAAGCCACTGCGAGGATAGCAAGTTGGGAGAGAAGGCACACCCTATCCCTGTTTGGTCGTGCCCTTGTTCTTTCGGTTGCAGCCTTCTCGATGCTATGGTTCCCCATGACGGTGTGCCTATTAGGGCTGGAAGTGTACCAAAAGATTAAAAGAGCAGCGGGACGGTACCTTTGGAAGCCCGCAGCAACAGAGGAACAGAGGTTCATCTCCAAAGTGGCGTGGGAGGCGATAGCCAAGCCACGAAACGAAGGAGGTCTGGGGATTTTAGACCCCCTCAAGCAAAATCTGGCTTTGCTCTCCAAATGGCCAGTCAAAGCTATGGTTGGTGATGATAGTAAAATATGGATGCACTTGGCTGAGTATATCTTGGGGAGCGAATGGGGACTTGAGGACCTATCTAAAGTCTGGCTGTGCCTTCTGATGCCGTCTTTCTGCCAACGTCGTCCTCAATCGAGAACCTGGCGTAACATTGTGTCGGCATGGAATAAGCTGAAACGGACGGAGTGGAAACCGCCACGGACCAAACAGGAATGTCTGAATCAGTTACTTTTTGAAAACCCACACATTTGTCAGTAGAACGGTTCTCCGTTTGCAGTCAAGGGTGGGGATTCCTGTTTGGTAACTCATGGATTAAAAAGGGCATAATGCAGGTAAGGGATTTGTGGGATCCAGTGGCCTCAGATTGGATATCTGAAGACACATTGAGGAGGAAACTCCCAAGGATACATAATTTGGTTCGTAATTATCAAGATATGTTGGAAGCTATTCCTCAAGGGTGGACATACCTGCTCTTATACACATCTAGATGTGTATAAGAGACAGCAGATTGGATATCTGAAGACACATTGAGGAGGAAACTCCCAAGGATACATAATTTGGTTCGTAATTATCAAGATATGTTGGAAGCTATTCCTCAAGGGTGGACATACCTGCTTCATTCCGAATCAGAGAATGTAGAGAATACCTGGGTCAGATCACATAACCCACGGGAGGTGTGGAGAGTCTTGGGTCCGGCCTCAGACCAGGGAATCAGGGTGCAGACGTGGTCCCTCCCTTCCTGTCTGCAGTCTATGGGACAGCTGCGGGAAACCGGCGAACTGATAGTGCCACACACTGTTAATTTGGAAGAAGTTCGGGTTCTCTATCAAGAAGAGAGTAAGGGGAAAGCCTCAGCCTTTCTGGGGAAAGAGGCATCCGCCTATCGAGTGGAACCTCTCCTGTTCGGATGGAAGGGGCTCAAATCTAATAATTTYTTTACTCCGCWACTTCAGTACAACTCTRAAGTAGGGGTTGAGTATCMGTGTACCCAGTCAAAAATAAAACCAGCCAMTTTGGYCAYTAAGAGAGCRGAAAATCAACSTTTGGAAGGGGTCTCTGAATATAACCTGAGAATTCTTTGGACGGCTCTGAAGAAGCTACCTTCGCAGAAGCAGGCAGCCATTATATGGCTGCARTCTCTGCTGGTAACAGCAACTGCAACATTCCTAGCTACTAAGGGCATGGATGTCTCCACCACCTGCCAACGCTGTAACTGGGGTTGGGAAGACCAGGCTCATCTCTGGCTTTTCTGTCCTTTGTTGGACGATCTGTTGGAATGGTGGAAGAAACGGTGACACCTCTTGTATGAGCAGGAGATGCTCTGGAGTGATAACTGGTGGCTTACAGGTCTCCCTCCCCGGGACTTTGCCTAACTGCAGGCACAGGATATGTAGCGCTCTGTAGTCGAGGAGCTTTATTAGAAGTTATGTGGGCAACACGGAATGTTAAAGCTTTCAAGGGGGAAACATTATCGATCCATCAACCGAAAGGGATGATGAAGTCTAAGTTAAGACTTGCCATCACAGCAGACTGGGCTCTGCATAGAACGCCTGGAGCAAGGAACATCCTTTGGTTCCGACGCACATGGGGTCAAGATAACAAATGGGCGACTGTTAGCCCAGAGGGATCATTCTGCCTTTCTTCCTGGCTTTCGAGTCAAGAAGCCTGTGTAGGAATATAAGATAGATTTGTGAGATTCCTTCTGTTTGACTCGCATTAGTCTTTATCATTTTTCAGTATGCTATAGTCTGTTACAAGGGCAGATTCCAGGGAAGGAATCAAGTCTTTCCTTACAGATTTATTTTGTACCTGTGATGAATGCCTGAATTGGTCTACTCAAGAATAGGTATGGACAGATTTTAGAATTTCTTGGAGCTTAAAGCTTTATCTGATGAAGGTTGATTGCATTTCATCTTTGACCTTTTTTTGGAAAGTACAGAGGGCCTCATAGGGACCCTTATCCCAGCTGTTAGTTAACTCAGGATTTATCTCTAGCAGCTAGTACTGGATGAGTGGGATAAGCTAAACTGGCTGAAGCTGTCAGGATAACTTCGGGTAGAATTGTGAGGTCCCCAGCCTCGAATATTTCTTGTTCGTATAAAGTTTATGCTTTCCAAAAAAAAAAAAAAAAAAAAAAAAAAAAAAAAAACACGCGTTCACACGAGCACACCAATTACAAGTGCAAAGGTCGTTACGGTAGTCGAAGGCGCCAAAAACAGCGTTCAACAATTCAACAACAGTTAATGCTTCCAATGCTTCAACTCTCTTGTTCGTAGTGGTCGCGAATTCCTACCTGTCTGACCCAGTTCGCATCATCCCTTCGTCAACCCAAGACTTCACGTCCAACCGCCAACCCTAGCGCTGCTACCCCCGCTGATTCGAGGGACAGCATGTTACCATGCTGTTGTCAAAGAGGTGGAGTAAAGTGACAAAATACTTCTATACTACTTGAACCTTCCAACTATTCCTTCTACACTACTAGAGACTCCTACCGTGCTACCATGGCCAACACAGACAAAGTAAAAAGAGAAAACTAAAACTAAAGCGCGACAAGACAAAACTAACCAAAGGCCAACACAGACAAAAGTCAAAATAAAACTAAAACGCGACAAGACAAAACTAACCAAACCAGATCGGGGCGTACGGCCGCGTCCCTTCCAGGAACATTCATGACAGCCTTAACAATGCTGCCGTCAATTTCCAGATGTTGTCCTGTTTTTTTTTTCCTTTTTTTTTTTTCGCGAATTCGTCCAGAACATTCCCAAAAAACTGGTCCGGGAACCCTTTTGCCCTGAATTTCAGTCTCTGGAGAAGCACCTCAATCGGAATCTCGGTCCCATTCGTCGTGTTCCTGTGATTCAGAAGTGTATGTAGACTCCCAGCAACAGCGGCCACCTTTTGACGCCTGCTCGTCCAAGATCTGAAGTCCTGTCCTGTCCGGATCACCACTTGTTTGCTTGACCAAATCGTAGCCTCGTTTTTTATCATCTTCAAACTTCCCAAAAATGGGTAGGATTGGCGGACAGTCAGGCGACACCCCAAAAAACACCAAAGTACCACTCCCAGTCAGGGTTCCTAGGGTAGCAGATGCAGTCTCTCACTTTCCTCTGGAGTCCATTCATATTTATTGCTTCCGGAACAGAAAATGCAAAAGAGTCTCATAGCAGGAGAAGCAACGACAGTAGTCATCCCGGCCTCGGACACCAATTTGCTAAATTTTGAGCCTTGGGCACAGGGCCCGATTTTGGAAAAAAAAAACAAAAAAAAAAACGACAGTAGTCATACCAGTACCCAAGGTCCCAAGCGTGAAGAATCGGTGGCAGTAAGAACAGCATTTCCAGCAGAGGAGGAGGAGGAGGAGGAGGAGGAGGAGGGGAAGTCGAGGACAAGTGGAAAAGAGTAGCAGGAGGAGTTTAAACGCATCTATCTTAGAACATGCTACGGGAGGAGAGGAGCACGAGGCACGGGAGAAAGGAGGAGGAGGAGGAGAAGAGAAAGGAGGAGGGGGAGGGGGAGGAGAAACGGAGAGCAGAGGACTTCTTAAGAGTAACATTGTCAGAAGGGAGTGCCGACTACGCAGCCATCATGCACACAGCTTAGAAGGTCAACTACGAAATATTTTATATATGGTGATCCAGATGATGCACACAGTCTCTCTCAGTCTCTTGACAGTAATTACTTTCCTTGTGATCTCATATGAGTACGTCTCCCGCTCAAACCCTCTGAGGCCGAGCCTCACCTTGTTGCTAACTTAAAGTCTGTTTTGAATCTTGAACATGAGGACTGGCAAAGCCATCGGCATCGGCAGTGACAATAATAGCTCGTAGCATGAGGACTGGCATTGCCTAGAACATGAGCCTGCGCTCACTCCCCGACTGGGTGCGGATGAGAGCCACTTCAGCTTCGGTGACACACGGGCTGTCGAAGGCCACGTGTTGGCATTTGAACGCCCCCTGGCCGAAGGTGTATGGCTCGCAATAGAGTTTGTATCCGCCGGCGTCGCAGTTGCAGCATGCGTTGGGCCCGAAGAACGGCAAGCAGTCGCCGCCCACATACCCCACACAGCCCTCAGCCGGCTTGGCATTGAAAGCCATCGCCAGCGTAGCAATAACCATCAAGGTCACGACCTGCCGACCGTACGCCATTGTGGCTCATCCCTCTCCTTCACTGTCAGTCGGTCGAAACGGAAACGATGTCGCCGGCAATTCAAGAAACACTGAGTGTCCCCGATAGATTCACCGAAAGCGTCTTGAGACCGATGAAAAAGTCAGACGCCCGCTGATCTGTAGTCCCTCTGCGCAAATCGACCAATCAAAAGTATAACAAACAAAGTTAGAAGAAGAAGAAGAAGAGGAGGAGGAAGAACAACAACAACGACGACGACGACGAAAGGCAGAAGAAGACTCCAGAAGAGAATAAGATCGAAATGTACAAGGAGAAAGTCGAAGTGGAGCAAGAAGAGAAGGAGAACAAGGAAGAATACAGGAAAGGAAGGAGAAGAAGTATGATTCACAATCTCGGGGCAATACGTTTAGGAAGGTGCTATGGTAGTTGATGAGAGCCGATTCACACCCAGTGGCAGTGCAGCATTTCAGTTGACGAGAGGAGTCGACACTCTAGCCCACCCGCTATAGCCGAACGCCAACATTTTGAATGGACGTGGACCAGCTACGGGGCCAGATACGTTCAAGACACGATAATATCTGGGCAACGCACAAAATTTGCTGAAACCATCGAGGGCATTCTCACACTTGTGCCTTCCCAAAGGACGGAAGGAGTGTGGAAAAGACAAACGCATGCTCAGTGACACACGTGAGACTATATGACGTCGTCAACGTGCGCTCACAAATTCTTTGCACGTCGTTGAATGGCAATGCAGAATGCGCGGACGATGGAGGAAAGAGCGGGGGGAAAAAAAACGGAAAAAAAATCGAGGAATGAACGAGCAAGGAACGAGCGCAGTGACCTCCCAAGGTGCTATTTTTTTTCTTTTCTACGGCTCTCAGCATTGTGGAAGATAGGGATAACAGACAGTAGTAGGAAAAGACAATTTCATTCCCGAGCACTCCTACTCCCACATTTGAGAGAATTCCATCCCGGTAGAGGGGGATGGGGGGGGGCCGGGGGGACAAAGGAAGAAAACAAGGTATCACGTACGCCCTCAGGACATGTATGCAATACGAATCATGCACAGCAGATCCATTGGGGCAGAGCGTCACACACACACACACACACACACACACACACACACAGAGAGAGAGAGAGAGAGAGAGAGAGAGAGAGAGAGAGAGAGAGAGAGAGAGAGAGAGAGCTTTGCGTGAACCCACAATAGGGAACAGGAGTATAGTGATTCCTTACCTTGGTGGGGGGTCTGAGTGGCGGCCGCCTCTTCTCCTTGCTTCTCGCCGCGTAAGAAAAACTCCACACCGTTTCGTGGCCTGCACTCAGCAGCGATGCCATATATAGGGTTCTCGCATGGATCACTCTACCATCGAAGGGTAGTTCCCCACGGCGGCGCCTTCTTTTTTTTCCCTCTCTCTCTCTCTCTCTCTCTCTCTCTCTCTCTCTCTCTCTCTCTTTTTTTTTTCAATTCCCCCTTTTCCTCCCTTCTTTTTTCCCACCGTTAGTTTCTTTTTTCCAAAGAGAGAGGGAGAAAGAAAAGAAAGGGCCAAAGGCCTTTTCCTCCCTTTCTTTGCTTTCTCTTCTTTTACTCCCTCTCTCTCTCTTAGGGAAAAAAACGATGGTTTCTCTTTTTAAAAAAATAATAGAAATAAATAAAGAAATTTTATCCAAAAACAACAAAAAACAAAAAAGGTGACCGGTTTGAGATATAATAATTGAACTGACCGGCTCCCACGCATTTATAAACAGGCTCTACAGTGGTGTGACCAGCCCCAGTGCCCCACAGAATAAATCATCCTTTTTTTTCTCCTTTTCTTTTTCCTTTCGTGTTTTCTACAGTGGTGTGGCGAGCCCCACAGAATAAATCATCCTTCCCCCCCCCCAAAAAAAAAAGAATAAATCATCCTTACTTTTCTTTTCTTTTTTTCTTTTCTTTTTGAGAAGTTATATCTTTTACATTCCAAAGACCAGTGGTCGAGGCCGGGGACCTCACAATTCAACCTGGAGTCACCAAGTAACTCTGCTGGAAACCAGGTTCAGCGTCCCAAGACCACCTATCTCTCCACTGCAGTTCGACTTCTCAAAAAAACACTGTTGAAGCTCAGTAAAAAATCCTGAGAGAAAGATAAGTTTTTCCCCAGGCACAATCTGGAAACGATGACCAGCGACCCCTGATGCTATACTTCTCCAAAGTGAAAATCTTGAAAGCCCAGGTAATAGCAAGTAAGAATCCAACCCAGAGGCTCTTTGAGAAGAAACAACCTAAGTAAGGACAAAGAGAAATCCTCATGTGCTCCTCATTAACCAGGCTCGTTTGGGGAGGAGAGGCGTCACCTATTGTATTGAAGGGGCCTCCCTACAGGCGATGACTAACTAACTCCCATTGCTCCCAAGGAGCCTTGGTGTAAACTTCAATTTGTCTTCACTTGAAAGTTGAAATCGTGACTAACTTGTTCTCTAATGCCCATGTTCTGCAAAACCAACTGCAGCCCTTTCCCTCGGAAAGGCGACATCTGTCCCAGTCAGCGCTGATGGCCAAATGAACAGATCTCAGTATTAGATGTTTCTGCAAGTGAAAATTTGAATCAATATTACTGAAAACCTTCGCGTTCCTTGCTGCCCATATGACCTCCATAATGATTCCCCTACACACCAGAGCTACATAGCCCCATCCTGCCGTGTACACTGATGACCCAGAGGGTATACTGTACACAATCCATTCTTATGACCAAACAACTGAGATTTCTCCCATTTTCCTCCAGAAGGATTTCCACCATTCCCATACTAGATTAGACCGTGGGCAGGAGAACCAAAGGTGATGTGGAGTTTCCTTGTCCTGACCACAACTTGTGCAAACCTCAGAGATAATCATCCCTTTTCCTGACAACCATGTGGCTGCCGGGATCACGTGTAGTGATTGCTGCCAAATCAGGCTAGCTTGTTTTTGAGATGGAATCTTTCTCAGAGCTTTCCACAGGTTCTCCCATATAGGCATTGGTCCACTCTCCCCAAGGGTTTTCTGATGTCTTCTTGATGCTTTCGCAGTTGGTGGATCCAAAAGTACATTCCGCTGCACTGCTACTCCTATCTTTGGTTTGTACTGGACCAAAGCTGTGTCCTCTGGTAAGTGGGTCTGGCTCTTATCCCAGCCATACAACAGAGGTCCAATTTTGAAATCGTCTGTTTCACCCAGCAAAGTAAACGTAGGCTGTTTCTTTGAACCTTTCTGTTCGAGAACTCTCAGTTCCCTGAGGTTCTCCAGATCTTGTACCAATTTCTCCCCCTCTCGACGTAGGATACACCGGCCACTCCCTCTGATTCCCACTATCCATGTTTGAACCCTCACGCCCATAGTACCTTCCTGTTCCTCCACCCTCCATACTCTGGAACCATCCGGGGATATCCTTTGTAACCAGTTCTCTTCTTCAGCAGGACAGACCAGTGTTCAGGCACCACACTTATTCATTTCTCTGCATTGGCTTCCACAGACCGTAGTCTTGGTAGCCTTACCCTGATCTCCTTTTTGGTTAACCAGCGGCCTTGCTCAGAATTCCATAAGTCTTTAATCTGTAAAATACCTTTCTTGATCCAGGCTTGGCCGAAGGAGCCCGCTGAACCATCTGCTCGGAAGATCTCTCCGTTATTCTGTTTGATAAATACGTTATCAAAACGGAGTTGGTTGCAGACTTCGGTGAAGGTGAGTCGTTCCCTCAATAGGTGAGGCCGCAGGTTATTCCATGCGAAAAGGAAGTTCTTCCACGTTTTGGATTTGGGGTGTTTTGAACAGTAGGACTGCATCAACATGCAAAGCCAGACGTGTGAGCCCTGAGACAGGTCCCACTTCTTTTGCAATATGTACTCAGCAATTTGCACCCACATTTTGTTTGTGTTCTCCAACATACCTAGGATTGGCCATTTAGCCAACAAGGCTATATTCTGGCACTTAGGATCCAGGATACCCAGCCCACCCTGTTGCCTAGGCTGTGTTACCGCATCCCACTCCACTTTCGAGATGAAGCTCTCGTCCTCTCCAGCAGCCGGTTTCCATAGGTATATAGAACCTACTCTCTTGGTCTTTGTATAAGCCTCTTCATCCAACAGGTGGATGGTTAGGGGGAACCATAGAAATTATAGAATAGAGAAGGCTGCTGTTGATAACACCAAAGCCCTCCCAAACAAGGACAACTTGAAGTTACGAACCCAACCACAGATTCTTGCAGTAACTTTATCTCCAAGCAGAGTGTCCTGAGCAGCACCGCTATTGGACAAAGAAACTTGAATACCCAAAAACCGCTCAGACCTGCCTGAAGGAACTTGCCTCAACCCCCAATCCACACAGAGATCATAAGGAGGGGGAAGAAAATAAGTTGACTTTTCCCAATTTATTGAGGCTTTCGATAAAGTACAATATTCATCCAATACCACATGTAACTCATGCAAGACTATAGAAGAGTTTTCTACTACAACTGTCAGATCATCCGCTAGAGCCCCTCCCTTCCATTCGAGGGAGGGGAAGAACGTCAGACCCTTAATTTTAGTATTGGTCCTTAGATTAGATAACAGAGCATCCAATTGGATCACAAATAAAAGGGGGGCCTGTGATACGCAACCTCACGCCCCCTCGCAGCTTCCCGTACGGGGTCGCCGATCAGAGTTCTAGGAGGGGCGTGGCCGAGGATTTTTTGCCATAAGGGTTGAGTCTCCCGGACGGAACGGGAGGCTCTCGTTTCTTGACCGAGGTTTTTCTCGGAGTCGAACTGTCGTCGCGAAGTCCCGCGGGGGTCGGATTACTCCGAAACGATAAAATCAGACGGGTTTCAGTGAAAATGAATTGCCGTTGTGCATCGGGACGGGAAAAGGCATCAAGGGGAGGAGGCCATGGCGGCAGACGACAAAAACTCCGGCGTCATGGGTTCCAGGGATAGATGGTGGGTTCGAAGCCTTCAGGCCTCATCATCGGCCCCACGAAGTGGCCGAACCCTCGGGGCTTTTGCTGTAGAGGTGGTTGGTTTAAGGCCTTCAAGCCTCGGCGTCGGACTCATAGAACCCGCGCGAAAGTTTCCGGGAGGGTAGAGCGGCGGGAGGACCCGCCGGCATCTGAATTCGAAATTGTGCGGGCAGCGCCCCCGCACTACGGGAAGGCTCGGGGAAACGTGTCGCTCCCTCGTAACCCAGGACCAGCCGTCGCCACGGACACGAGTCCCCCTGGCGACACCAGCGACAATCAAACTGTGGTCGCCACGCGGCGTGAGCGGCCGACCAGGGCAACACCGTTAAACCCGTATAAGGCAATATTAGAGTCGGGGAATCAAAGCGATCAATCAACACAAACCCGTTCCCCCTTATCTCACAAGCCCGAGGCGGGTCTTGCCAACACACTTGCTCCGTCCGCCTCAGCGCGCGCCGTACGTCCGCATCGCTGTAGACGCTGTCGTCATCTATGATGGGGAAGGTCAGTAGCGAAATGAGACGATCGGAGGTACGTGGTGAACACGGGCAAGATCCCGCGTTCCCGGTCATCCGAGCCAACACCGAATCCATACAACAAACGTCGCAACTCTTCTCTCTCGAAAGTGGGTGCGTAGGGGGAGGATGAAGAAATCTAAGCTTTCTCCCCTTGGCAGGGGCGTCGACCGTCCGCACGGATGCAGGCGGTTGACGTCACGGGTACGGGGACGAGAAACTCTAAAAGGCGATGACTGTTAGTTCAAGAGGAAGGCGATCGAAAAGGGAGAGAGAGAGAGTTACGCCAAGCCCGTGCGGGAGCGCAGGAAAGGCCGCGGAGGGGAGGGGAACAACCGGATCAACACACTCATACTCCTAAGCAGATGGTCCCCCATTTCAGTTTCCCCATCCCCGCCCGGACGAGTACATACACACATACATGCATGCAATCAACAACCCTTGTCAAGACATCTAATCATCCATGGACCTTCGACGTCACTCATGCGCATAACCAGCTCCCATCACTCGGGGCTTCACACACACGACATGCATAGACAAAGCAGCAATGGAGATAAAAGTGAGTCCTTCTTGTACACAAAAAATTCAATTAACTGCTGCCCCCAGGCGCAGCCTTCAAAACCTTCCAAGACCACCGACCACCATAGCCACAAGGCCCTGCCGCGGCCGGCGTCCAATCCCCACCACTACTCAGTCCCTCCGACTGCTTCGCCCAGAGACTACCGCGGGGTCCACCCCACGTCGTCACTCCGCCCGTCCTTGGGCTCGTCGAGCCTGTTCGGCGCCGCGGACTCTCGCGCATAGCTCGCACAGCATTGCTGCCGAGATCAAAGAGAGGGAGAGGAGAGGGTTGCGCAAATTTATAGCGTGGGAGGCGGCGGGTTAACAACGCGAGGTGCGGGCAGCGCAGGGTGTAGATGAGCAGGACAGGAGAGGGAGGTGGGGAGTTAGAGGGTTCGATCCGCGAGATTGCATAGCTACGTGCTTGGGGTGTTCGTCCAAGTGGTGCGCGATTTCCCGCTTTCCACATTGATCCGAGCATCCCAACTATGCAGCCAATCACTTCGCGGAGGAAGAGGGGGTAGGGATCAAGCTGGGCGTAGGGGAAGACGAAGAGTCCTGCATGGGGAAAACGCGCGCAGCAAGAAGGGAAGATGGCGCGAGGATGAAAAGCAAGAAACGGGGATGCGAGACGCGTGAAGAAACCGGAGCTTAGGCGCGCGCGCAAAAACTGAAAAAGTCCCAACCGCACCCGTTTCTTGGTTTTCATACCGCGGCCGCTATTCGCCCGTGGGAGTTATTAACCAAACAAAATGAAAAAGCCGTTTCAAAAAGAAAACAAAAACAAAAAGAAAGAAAAACCCATTTCTATCCGCGTCTGTACTTCGGGGTTTCCGCGGGATTTTTCCTCAGGGATACAGCAAGCCGCGCGGTACGGATCTGAGCTTATCACATCTGTGGTATGCAGGGGGTTCCGAAAAATTAGCAGTCTCCCAACTGCTGATGCCATCATATCATGGATGATCGGGAGGCCTCTTCATCGTCATCTGGCCCGATCATCTTCCTAATCTACGTGGATGCGTCATGCATCCTCCATTGCCTCCTCCCATAGTATACATTCGATCGGGCGGCCCCTTCATCGTCAGCTGGCCCGATCGGTAAGTAAAAAGAATTTTTTTTTTTTTTTTTTTTTT